GTAGAGGCGTTTCACCCATGAACGCCATGATCACGAATGCAGGAGGCATGCCTTTCCTTAATTGAGCATGCGCAGTCTCAAATGTAGGAAAATCTTTGTGAGCCGCTTGGGCATCTCCACCAGTGAGCGATGTTAGTGCGTGCCAAAAGCCATCGGCAATCTCCCACTGCGCAAAAGTAGCTATAATGAATTTATATTGAAACGCACCTCGGTCTCCTTGACAGATTCACGCAGTGTGGCAATATCGGTCTGCGTCACTCGTCCTACTTTTTTTGGGTAAGCTTTTCGGAATATTGAATTAAAGGTAAGGACTGGGATATCTTCAAGGCTTTCCTGCAGATGTTGGCATCCAAGCCAATATCACCAACGACGTAACCGTTGTTCCAAATCTGGCCAGATCTGGCTGTCCAAACATATTAACAAAAAGCAATGTCTTTCTTGTTTTGTAGAATTTCGGGTGCAGGGGCTGCTTCAAATACATGGCGCTTTTCATAGCCCGCGCGAAGCAGAGGTACCACGTGCAGGGAGGTCGGTATCCCGACGTACTCGTGGCGGATAGGCTCCTTATCAGTCTTGCGGGGGATCGGCATCCTCTGTCTCCTATAGAGTTACGTCTACCGCGTCGGTTGGTGAAGTATCTGTATGGTGAGTCGCAGACGCGGTGACGTGGTTAGTGTGCGGCGCCATAAGATCTGAAGTGCCCGAGTCGTTGTTGTTTTTGTAATGAATGGATTGGCGTTAGGGCGACGGCGGACGTGCCTAACGACGTCAGGGTATTTCAATGTGACGTCATTGGGATCGTGCACTGGTGTGTAGAGGTCTGTGCATTTACCTTGTTATATGTTGTGTGCGCTTAGCAAATTTGTATGTGTGATCCACCTTCTCTCTGTTAAAACTTATACCTGTTTCGATCTGATTAGACAGGGAGTTACCATCGTTTTTATGAATAGGAGATATACAAACACGCAAAACCTCACAGGAATTCACAAAGAGTGTTTAGGTCACACATTAATAGAAGACGGTAGTGAGCGGGTTAGACCCGAGGGGGGTGCCGTCAAAGCAGGGCCGCTCAGTATTTGCATAAGTGGGCTTAGCCATGATCTCACCAGCGAACGGAGCCGTTGCACTCTCCAGTGCATTTTTTTTGTAATGCGGGTCTGGGGGTGCAACCCCCAATATACTTTAATAGAACGCTATCCATAATTGTGCTGTTTTGTGTGTGTTTGGCTCTATTTGAGCGACTGGGTTTGCAAATGCAGCATAACTTTTGATCGAATGCAGATTGTAGTTGCCACTTTTTCTTAAGCTTAGAATAAATATCTCGATACCACATCTGCTTGAACGGAATAGCTTTATAGAGCTTGCACTTTCAATAACTCGCATTGATAGCAATGGCTGGGCAAGGCTGAACTATGAGTTCCTCTAAGGTACATGTATGTTGGATTCCTTCATGAGTACTTTTCAGCACCAACATAGCGTTTCTCCTGTAAACGAAGAAATCACGGGAATAGATGAAACCTGAGCTGCACTTTTGTGCGGCTTGGCTCGCTTGTGCATTCAAGTTATGTCGATTCGATTAGATCAGGTGACAAGGATACATGTGTACGGACGCACGCACTCAGTCGAGCTACCATACTGCTCATTTCATTCTAGCGAAGGTAACAAGACTCTTGTCAAGAGGTAGTTGTACATGTAAGTAAAACCTGGGGTGGTATACCTACCGCAGGGTTCCTACAATTCAATGCTACTCGAAGATTCCTACCCTTACGACGCATGTACTTTGTTGCCGACGAATGAACCTTTGGTTAGTTTCAAATCCTTGTTCAGGTGCACGTATTGCCGGCTCTATCTCGACAATCGACTTTCTGATTTCTGGCAAATGTGGACTGGAGCATTCTTTGCCGGTCAAGTTGACTGGGACTTGCACAAATACTTCAAGTAACGAGACCGATCAGATCTAAGGTCTCCATTACAAAATGAGCAGACTGCTCTTTTGGTAATGGAGACCATGCTCAGCATTCCTATTCGAGCTTGCTGAGACGGTGACAGTGAGGATCATAGAGTTTGCTGCTCGTACATCTCGGATCTGCACGTTGGATACCGCAAAGAGCGATCGTTGCTATCCTTCTCACTTTTGAATCTGCCGCCTTCGAAGCACCAACCAATTCTCCAGTCGAAGACTTTCACTCAAGATGAACCTCCGCGCCTTCCTCGTCGCAGCCATCGCTTCGTTCGCCGCCGTCAACGCTAAAGTCAGTCGCGTTAACCACGACAAAGTGCAGCCGTTCGCCCAGCTGCAGCCGATCACTGACTCACAGAAGTCTGCTGTCAAGTACAAACCACAGCTCCACATCTCGTATGGATGCCACCCGTACCCTGCCGTTCAAGCCAATGGCTCGGCTAGTGGCGGTCTGGAGTGGTCTGGACCTGTTGATGGAGACTGCACGGGTTCGCCGTTGGGCTCGCAAGTGTACTCTCGTTCGGCCTGGTACAAGGAGAAGTGGGCTATCATGTACGCTTGGTACTTCCCTAAAGGCCGCTACGGTATAACAGGCCATCGTCACTATTGGGAGTACGCGATCGTATGGACAGACAGCGCCACCTCGACCAACTCGTCCATCCAGGGCGTGTCAATGTCCGCGGGTGTTGGTCACGCGAAGGCTACTCCCCCGATGCTCAAGTACGTTGACGGGTCGAGTATCAAACTCGACTCGTATTTCAGTTTTATGGGCAACAAGGCGGCGTTGCAGCTCACGAAGGAGCATGGTGAGACCCAGGACCTCATCACTTGGGACCAGTTGACAGTCGCTGCTCGCGATACACTGAACAGCGACGCACTTGACGGCAACGTGTGGCTCACGAACAAGGACGAAGTGCCATTCAAGGACGACATCTTCATGCAAAGACTGAAGAACGCCTTCCCTTTTTAGTTAGTGGAACGTCAAGGACAATGAATAATACAGCAGTGAACCCTGTTCGTACAAGTGAGTGCACTTCTTAGTATGCTGTTATACGGGTGTGCCGAAGATACTTTAATTGTTTGTGAAGTGGATGGACTCTTAACTGGTTCTGCTACATATCAAGGATAAAATTTAATCAGTTTAATAAGTGTTTTCTTAAACAAAGAAAATGTAGATGGAGTAATTCACTGCAATTGTTTTCTCTTTAAAGAGAAACAGTTTTTCATTCTTTCATAAGGAGTATTTCCAGTATCAAGGCACGTGAAGATTTATAAAGCTCACTCTCCACGCTTACGACTGGATCTTGGTGGCGTCAGATGCAGGAAGAATCACAGTTTGCATCGAGTGACCCGGCAGGTTCAGCGTGAAGGTTTTAGCGTCTGTCTGCTTCACACTCACGGTGACATCGGAATTGTCGCGGTTCAAGAACTGCAGCACCACGTTGTTGTCCGGCGTCACAAACGCGGTGCGGTGGAAATTGCTGAGAGTCTTCGTCTTGGGGAACTCGATGCGACGCGAGCCGGCGGGGACGAACTTGGAGAAGTGGCCCATCATGTAGAACATCGGCTGCTTGTAGAACTCAGAGCCGCTGACTTCGTCCACCAGAATAGGAGCGTCGACGAAGTTCTTGGCCCAGTTGGGGCCACCAGCGGTATCCAGTACCAAGTTCCAGTCGGTCCATCCAGTGACAAAGTTGTTGATGTCTTCGATGATGTCGTGGCCGTAGTTCTCCGCACGAGACCAGCTCTTGTCGGCGTCCGTTAGAGACGGACCCGAGCCTGTACCCAGCCAGCTCGGGAGGAATCCCTCGCACGCCTCGGTCGCAAGCATGAAAACATTCGGGAATTTATTGTGGAACGTCAACAGTTTGTCGAAGTCGCCGCCAATTCCAAAGAAAAAGAAGTCCAAGTTGCGGTACCAGTGGACACCCAGACCACTGATGTACTTGAGTGACTCAGGGTCTTCGAACGGAGCCAGTTCGTCCAGGATACCGGACTTCTGGTCATCGCCAGCGATGATCTTGAGGTCAGGGTGGTTCTTGGCCATAGTAGGACCAAGATCCAACTTGACAAAGTCTCGTTGCACCTCTGCGGACATGCGCAGCGACTGCCACGCCGACGTCTGAAGAATGGACTTAGTGGGCTCGTTCTGTACCGTCATAGCCCAGAAATCAATGCCCTCGGTCTTATACTCGTCGAAAAACTTGGAATAGTAGAGAGCCAACGACTTCCAGTACTCCTCACCGGGTTTGCCCTTGAGCGCACAGTTAATCGTCGTGTTCTCCGTCGTCATCCAAGCAGGAGGAGCCCACGAAGATGCAAATAATTTCACATCACGCGTCGAGGTCCGAAGAGCGCGTTGGATCAAATCGATCTTGTTCGACTTTCTATCCACATCAATAGAGAACTTCTCGTGGGCCAGATCTCCCGGGTTGTCATTGTACGAGTAGATACTCGTGGAAAAATCCGTGGAACCGATAGTAACACGACCCAGCGAGTACTCCAGTCCCTTGTCGGAGTAGTACTGGTCCAGTACCATCTGCTGCAAAGTGGACGACAGCTTGTACACGTTGATAGCCGCCGCGTCCGTGAAGGATCCTCCGAAGCCGAGTATCGTCTGGTACTGCGTCGAGACATCGATCGTGTACGTGGGGTTGCTTGCAGCTGTAGCGTCGACGTTCACCACCTTGTACGCAAAGCGATCGCCAGCCTTTGACGATGTGTACACACCAACTTGTCCTGGAGTCAAGCTCTTGTAGTCTTTGGAGACTGTGTCACATTGAGTTGCATTGCAGACGCAAACTCCCTTGAGGTTGGTCTGATACCTGTTCGACCAGCTACTGCAGGCGGCCGAAGCTTCCTGGGAGGCCAACAGGACGCCGGCCAGGGCACTCAGAAGGAATGGCCAAAGCATTTGAATACAATGAGTGAGGAGAAGTCGCCCAATTCGAAAGTGTCCGTTGAATAGAGAAAATTATCCTGCGTGGAGGAAACGCAGCGCTTGATGTTGGCGTCACGCCGTGATGCTGATAGCAACCGAGTCCTGATTATCTGATCTCTCGGTGCGTAGGATGGCCAAGATGTGTATAGCCGTCATGGAAGTGTCCGTCTGCACGACGATGTGGGATGTGTGTCATGCCCAGTTTCGAACAGCGAGGCGACTGTATCCACCGCGTTACCTGCAGACGAACAGCTAAAGGATACACAGGTCGTTGAACACCACAAGTTTGTCGATTAATTAATTTCTGCACGGATACACCATGTATCCTGTAAATGCCACGGGCACGCTGGGCGGCTCATTAGGCTGTCGCTGACAGGGACTCGCTGTTGGCTGACGATCTGGTCCATGACCTAAGAGTGTAAGAGTCTACCGTTGGCACAGTAATGCCAAGCTTCTCTCACAGACTGAGTCATAGTAACTCATTTGCACGTGGTTCAGCGCAATTGACCACCGCTATAATATCTCCGAATACCCTGTTATATCTGCTAGCCCAAAAAGTTATTGATCAATTAAATCAATCTCTTCGATTCGATTACCTTTCAGATCACTCTTCTCTCATATTAAGAGTAGTAGCATTGCCGTTGCACAGTATCCATGACGGGATGGCTTTGATCGCGTGAGCGAGCGAGCGTAATGGCTCAGATGCTTGAAGTGAATCGTTGTCAGCCAGCGTCTTAGAAGGAGCAATGTGGGTCAGTTTTTCAGCATGAAAGCTCAAGCCCATCAGTTCACGGTTCAGTGCTTGAATTTGTATTCTAGATAGTCTACCGATAACTGGTACAGTAGTTGGAGTTTAGAAGTTAGTCATCAGCCTACTAGTAGAATATCTCAATCAACTCGGTGGCGTTTATCTACTACTACCTGTGTATCATTCGAGTAGATGGTTACTGTCGGTCATTTGGCGGAGGCGCTAGAGGATGGTGATACTTCTTGAAAAAATGGGGAACAGAAGAAGAGGGTAAGAACCGAGTAAGATTCTAGTTCTTCTTTCATCGAGTAAATAAAGAATAAGCACTACGGAGTAGGACAAATAATAATTTTCTAAGAGATTTATCTGTCACGAGTTTACCATAATTTTATCTTCCAGGCAGAACGCTCATGCCAGGTGGGGGTTGAGCATTGCTGAAATATATGCTAGCGCGATACACGTGAGGAATACCAGAGTCAATTCAATCAATTACGTGCTGTAAAGTGAATATCTGTTCGTTTCGAAACATGGTTGTCATTTAGACTTCAAATATTAGATCGATCGCCAATTTCGACCGCCAAGTCATGAGTCAAAA